GGGACACGGGGACATGGGGACACAGGGACGCAGGAACAGGGGGACACGGGGACATGGGGACACGGGGCCGGGGCCGTCCCCGCGCCGGTGCCGGTGCCGCCGCCGGCGCCGCACCTTGAAGGACTGCACGAAGGTCCAGAGCAGGATGCGGATGGTGTAGCCCTGGCGCAGCAGCTTGATGAGCCGCGCCGCCCGGAACAGCCGCAGGAAGCTCAGGTTGATGAAGTTGTTCTGCGGGACGGGAACAGCGGCTCCGGAATGGGCCCACGGCGCCGGGAGAGCCCGTCGGAGCCGAGGGGTTCCCACAGCTCCGGAACGGCGCCAGGACAGCCCGCCGGATCCGGGCTGGAGCGGCATCCAGAGACCCCACCCAATCCAAGAGATTCCATCAGGAGCCAAGAGTCTGCACCGGATCCCAGACCCCGCTGGGATCCAAGAGTCCCCCACGGATCTGAGCCCGGAGGGGCACTGGGAGATTCCCGTGGATCCAAGAGCCCCCAGGGGGATCCGAGAGCACCTGCTGGATCCAAGACCCCAGACCAGGATCCAGGAGCCTGCGYTGGATCCGAGACCCCATGACGGGATCTGAGAGCCCCAGCACTGAATCCGAGCCTGCGATAACAGCTTGTACTGGGTCCGAGAGTCCCCACCAGGTCCAAGAGCCACCACCGGGATCGGAGACCCCMCGATGGATCCAAGAGCACCCAGTGGGATCCAAGACCCCATAATGGATCCAAGAGAGCTCAGTGGGATCTGAGATCCTGCACTGAGATCCAAGTCCACAGTGGTGCCCAGACCCTGCACCAGATCCAAGATCTGCGCCAGGATCTGAGAGCCCACCCTGGGATCTGAGTGCGGAGCAGATCCGAGTCCCGGGCTGCATCCGAGCCCGGCGCCAGCTCCTACGTGACCGGCCGTCACTCACCCCAAACTCGGTCACCAGGATGTCCGTGATGCTCCCCAGGACGGTGACGAAATCAAAGATATTCCAGGCATCGCGGAAGTAGTTCTGGGATGGAAGGAGAAACCGAGGGAGCGGAGGAGGAGCGGGGCCCGGGGCCAGGGAGGTGGCATTGCGGTGGCACCTACCAGCACCCCAAAGGCCATGATCTTGAGCAGACACTCGAGGGAGAAGAGGGAGGTGAAGACGTTGTTGAACATCTTGAGCACGTTCTCGTAGGCGTCCGAGGCGTCGTAGAACTGCGGGAGGGGACAGCAGGGGTGGGCACGGGGACAGGGGTGGCACGGCCTGGGGGACAGCACGGAGCTGGGGGGACGGAGCGGGTCCCAGTGGAGAGCAGGGATGCAGGAGGATGGGGACAGGCCCAGGGGAGGACATGGGTCCTGGAGGACACGGGGGGACCTGGGAATGGRGACAGAGCCCAGGGGACAGGGACTGGGACAGGTCCTGGGGGACAGGGACACGGGGACAAGAGGGAGTCCCGGGGCAGACCCCAAGGAACAGGGACAGCAGATGGGACAGAGGCAGATCCAGGGGACAGCGGATGGGTCCAGGAGGACAGGGATGGGACGGAGAGCGTGGATGGCCGTTGGGGACAGGGATGGGACAGGGATCAAGGCCAGGCCAGGCCCCACCGCGGCCACGGCACCTTCATCATGAGGACGATGGTGTTGAGGGCGATCATGGCCATGATGGTGTACTCGAAGGGAGGGGACACCACGAACTGCCACATGCGGTACTGGAAGCTCTGGCGGTTCTGGGGCATGTGGCGCGTCAGGGGCTTGGCGCTGATGGCGAAGTCGATGCAGGCCCTCTGCGGAGGGGACAGCGCCGGTGCAACYGCCGCCGCGCGGGGACACGTCCCCCGGGGCGGGTGGCCCCACCTCGTTCTTCTCCAGGCTGTACTCCTCCATCATCTTGTCGCCCTGCTCCTGGAACGTGATGATGATCAAGGCCACGAAGATGTTGACGAAGAAGAAGGGGAAGACCACGAAGTAGACCACGTAGAAGATGGACATCTCCATGCGGTAGCCCGGGCTGGGGCCCTGGTTCTCGTAGGTGGCGTCCACCGAGTGCTTGAGGACCCTGTTGGAGAGCGTCCGTGAGCCTCCGACATGTCAGAGAGCACCCAYGGGTCCCCTACACGTCAGAGAGCACCCATGGGTCTCCAATGTGTTGGAGAGCATCCATGAGCCTCCTACATGTCACAGAGCACCCATGGGTCCCCTGCATGTTGGAGAGCATCCATGAGCCTCCTACATGTCACAGAGCACCCATGG